ACGGAGAAGAGCAAACAGTGCTTCCCATATGCAAGCTCAGACTTCGCGACGTTGAGAGAGGGCGCGACAAACTGGAAAACTGTGCTCTGCTCAGGGAGAAATTTCCGTGCCCACACTGCACAACACCCCAAGAAGATGGACGCGAGTCGATGCTAGAAACTGATGGCGCCACCACCTCTCGAACCCCCGACGAGAAACTGAACATGAATGAGACAGCAAGGTGGAACCCTAACGTGGAATGATGGCAGAGCTGATTTTGTCCGCCTCCCCGCAAGAGACGCCAAGATTGTGCAGGTCCTCGTAGTTGGCGACCACCTCGACTTGGTTCTGCTCGAGCTCCTTGACCACAGAAAGTACGCCGTTGCACACCTGACTGCCAAGCTCCATCGAGCCTCGCCAGAAGCCCTGCTCACACATACACCCATGTATCTTGCCCAGCAGCAACCCGAGCGCCTTGTTGCGACGCCGAGCCCATGACAGTGCATCGAGGCGTGCACGAACGGGGGGGCATTGAGATGCTCCGAGCCGGTCCAAAAGAGGCCCCCTTCCTTCACGGTGTCGACGGAGTCACGAGCGCGCACCTGACCCCCGAAGTCTATGCTGAACGACCTGTTCATTCTGAATGATTTGACCGAGGAGAAGTTGGTGGCGGAGGCGCTCAGACCCTGCGGCTATGAGCGTATCCGACACGGCGACCATCACTTTGGTGAGCACAGGGCGGGGAAAGCCCCCACTGTAGACACGGCAGGGGTTGGAGCCGGTCTGATCATCAATGCGGATGGGTTTGGGACCTGAAGTGCCAGCAGTACGAGGACGCGTAGGAGACGAGCCAACAAAGTTCCATGCAAACGAGGCGGCTGAAGCTGACGACCTCGAGACCGCACCGGAAAGCTCAATGATCTGCTTGTCCGCGGTGTCGACCCCCCTGCAACTTGGGGATGATCTCCTTCTGGCCGAGGTTCGCAGGAACCTGGTCAGTGACCTTGTGGTAGGCTGCCATGGAGTCCTGGAAGCGAGCGAGCTTCTCGTCGTGCTCGGCCAATCACTGCTTTATCTCCCTGACGTCGGCAAGCTTGGTGCCCACGTTGTCGAGACGGCCATTGATGGCGGTGATCGCGTGCAAGATCTGCTGGATGGCGGTGGCGTCTCCCATTGCTCTCAAGAGCCACAGGCAACACGTCGCGGCGCGGGACCTGCCTGGCCTGAAGCTCAAGCAGGGGTCGAGACGTTCAGAGTGCAGTCCTTGGGCATGGGCCCTCGAGCCAGTCCATTGGCTGCAGTCAAGCTATAACCTCGGGGCGAAGGTTTCAACTTAACCCACAATGGCTTGAGCCAAAGTTACTACGGAGGAGGCGGAGGAGGAGGAGGAGGACAGCGACAACGAAAACTGGAAAGAGGGCGAGCGGGAGGATCAGGGTGAGGGTGAGATGGAGGAGACAAGCAGGGAGGGGGCGTGGAGATGAGGACGAAAAACGCGAGAGAGTGCGAGAGAGTAAGAGGACGATGAGGAGAAGGAGAACGAGGACGACCCACCACGACAAGAACACCCGACGATATCGACACCAAAAGACTACGGCGGCGGCGACGGTGACGACGACGACGACGACGACGACGACGACGACGACGACGACGACGACGACGGCGACGACGACGACGACGACGACGACGACGACGACGACGACGACGGCACGACGACCGAACGCCTGACCGACGACGACGACGACGACGACCACGACGCCGCGTCCGACGACGACGGGAGCGCCGCGATCGCCAAGGCGGCCCGCCCAGGGTGAAGGGCCTTCCGCCCCCACGGATGCGACCGCGCCCTCCAGCCGGCCACTCCCCACGGAGTCCACGAGCAGCTGCGCGACGGCGGCCCTGCGGAGGTCGTAGTCGCCGTCGATGTCGTCGTTGTCGACAGTACCGTCGCCGTCGTCGCTGTTCTCCGTCGCCGTTCCTCCTCCTCCTCCTCCTCCTCCCTCCTCCTCCTGCCTCCTCCTCCTACGCCGCCGCCTCCTCCTCCCTCGGCCTCCGTCTCCCCTCTCCTCTCCCACCTGCTCCTCCTCCTCCTGTCCTGCTCCTCCTCCCCCCCCCCCTTCTCCGACCTCCCCCTCCTCCTCCTCCTCCCCTGCTCCTCCTCTCCTCCTCCTCCTCCTCATCCTCGTCCTCCTCCTCATCCTCCTCCTCCTCCTCATCATCATCATCATCATCATCATCATCATCATCACCATCATCATCATCATCATCGTCATCATCATCATCGTCATCATCATCATCATCATCATCAGCAGCATCAGCACATCATCATCATCAGCATCAGCATCAGCATCAGCATCATCATGAGCATCAGCAGCAGCATCAGCATCAGCATTATCAACATCAGCAGCATCAGCATCAGCAGTAGCATCAGCATCAGCATCATCATCATATCATCATCATCATCATCATCATCATCATCAGCAGCAGCAGCAGCAGCATCATCATAAGCATCATCAGCATCATCAGCATCATCATCATCATCATCATCATCCTCATCCTCATCCTCATCCTCATCCTCATCCTCATCCTTTTCCTCCTCATCATCATCTCCCCCGTCCTCCTCCTCCTCCTCCTCCTCCTCAGCCTCATCTTCTGCTGGCCCTCCTCATCACCAAACCTCAGTCCTCTCCTCGTCATGCGTTATCTTTCCCTTGTTCGCTCCCCATCCGCCTCCTCATCCCCCTCCTTCTCCTCCTCCGCCTCCTTCTCCTCCCCCTCGTCTCCCCTCCATCCCCCCTCCTTCTAAATAACTCTTCTCTGTCGCTCCCCGAAGACGGTCGAAAGAGCTGGCCGGGCGTTTCGCCTGAGACTTCCTATCCAATTATGATCCTGAAGCTTGATATTTGCAACAGCTTTATGGATGGCGGAAGAGGGCGGTCCACATTCAAACTGTGGTTCTCACCTTCGCGACGCGCACCTTCGCCTTAACAAATTTGTAGGAGCTTCACGGATGGAGGGCGGTCCGCTTTCAAAATGTGGCTCTCGCCATAGCGCCACGCACACTCGTCTTAAACATGTACAAGAGCTTCACGGTTCAAGGTGGCCAGCTTTTACAAATGTGGAGGTCGCCTAAGCGCCGCGCACATTCGTCTCGAAAAATTGCAAAAGCTTCATAGATGGAGGGACGGTTTTTCTCAGGGTGTCCCACGCGAGGGCGCCGGTTTGGAATTCGTCGCCAGATTCGCCGGATTCGCTGGATTTCGCCAGATTTCGCCGTGAGAGCCTCTTTGGGGAGGCTCTGCGGGACGGTTTTCCTGAGGATGTCCAACGCGAGGGCGCCGGTCTGGAATTGGCCAGATTCGCAGGATTCGCCAGATTTCGCCGCATTTCCCACACGGAACAGGAGGGCCTCTGAGAGCCTCGTTGGGGAAGCTCTGGGTGCCCGTTTTTCTGAGGATGTCCCACGCGGGGGCGCCAGTTTGGAATTCGCCGCCGGATTCGCCAGATTCGCTGGATTTCGCCGGACTTCCCGAATCTCGCCGGAAAGGGAACATGGGCGGGGCCATTGCAGCGCGCGCTGGGGGTCAGGAGGACGTGAGGTCCATAGAAGCTCCCCTAGAATTAACACGATGACTCCTACTACTACCACCACCACCACCACCACCACCACAACCACCACAACTACGACTACGACTACGACTACTACTACGACTACGACTACG